TGCTGGTTTTATTAGTTATTATTACTATTGTTTTGATGAGGAGGGCAGGAGGGCCAGCCGTCACCTGCTCTTGGTGTGCAGGTCTGCAGGTTGGATGCATCACAGAGCAGGAGGAAAACGACTTGGCACATGACTCCCACCCTCTGCTGGGGGAGCAAAGCCACTGATGGGCTGGTGCTGGGAGCATCCCCGAACAGGATGGGGTTTATGGCCTTTCCTACCTGTCACTGGCTGTTCCTGGAGCTGCTGTGGCGTGGACAGCAGGCAGCCTGCTGGGTTCACCCACCCTGGCAGTTCCAAGTGGTCCCTGTCAGTGTTGGCATGGTTTGGAGCAGGCAGCATGCTTGTTGTCCCCGTCGCTGCCAGGACAGTGCTGGAAGGGCAGAGGAAGTGCCGAGATGCTGCCATGAAGCTGAGTATGACTTGGCTGAGGGAGAGGAATCGTGTTTTCCTAATTTATAAGTGCCAGAGCATCACTGCGTGTCCAAAACCCTGACCCCTTTTGCAGGCTTGGCCTCTAGTTTTCCTGTTAGATCCAGCTGCATCAATGTTGTTATTGCTGCGGGATCACTGCGGGGACCAGCCTGCTCCAGTTACTGGGGTGTCTCCGGGGGGTGGGAGGGAGGGGATTTGCTCGAGGTGACCAAAAAGCCAAAGGCGCTGAAAAGGCGTGATGGGCGCGAGCCGAGGGGGACGGGCCGCCGGCGGCGGGACTGACCCCGGCGCTGGAGGCAGCCCCGCAGCATCACTGCCGACGCTGTATTTGATTTTTTAAGAAAAACACCCGGCGTGATCTAAGGCAGCGATGATGCAGCTCCTGCCCAGGCTCCCTGCGGCCCCGGACTAGCCTCCCCCCGCCTGAGCTGCGCAGGGGCGGTCGGTGGCAGCCGCTCGCTCGCCCACGCGCTGCCGGTGCCGGGTGCGGCGCCGACACGGTTAAGGCACCGGCGGGATCGGGAGCCGGCTGCAGCCACCGGCGGAGGCAAACTTGCCGAGTCAGGATGTGAGAGCGGCAGGGACGGCTCTGCAGCATCCCTGGGTGCTGCCGTATTCTGGGGCGCGGAGGGCTCAGCTTCCCCCTCCGCCAGACGCCTTTTCCCGGGGACGGAACGGGAATGGGGTAGGAACCGTCATCCGCTGCGTTTGCCGCCGGCTGTAGCAGCTGCTCTGCGCCGGCACCGGCGCCGCTTCCCGAGACCAGCGGAGCCTGCAGCTCGCCGGCAGCCGGGCTTTGACTCATTTCTTTGTGCCTCCTGACCTCGCGTCTCCCTCCGTCCGAGCACCGGAGCCAGGTAGGTGCGGTGCTGGGTGCGAGCGGGGCCGCGGCGGTGGCTCGGCCGTGCCTGGCCGGCAGCCACGGCACAGCGGGGACCTGGCAGGGTCACACATCGGGAACGCGCGGGTGCTCGGTATCCTGGTGGACCCCGGTACTTTGGCACTGGTGTACGTGACGGCAGAGCCGGAATAACCCCGGCTGGCGAGCCGCATGTGCTTTCGGGCTGTGTCATTGACTCGGCAGCCGAGCAGCGCCGGTGCCGGCGCTTCGGCGGTCACGGGCGACCTCACGTGTCGCAACTGAATCCCCAGCACCCGCCTGCTGCGCTGTCGCGATGATGGGCTGGTGAAGGCGCCGGAGCCCAGCAGCGCGGTCGGAGGGGCCCGGCGGGCTGGGGGACGCTGCGCCGCAGAAGAGGCTCCCGGGCCGAGGGAAGGGGCAGGGCTGCTGCTCTGCGGATCCCTGCGGCGCCCGTGCAGCCGGGGGGGGGCACGGGACCAGCGCGGGGCATGAGCGCAGGGGTGACGGCAGGAGGTGCCCAGGCGACAGAGCAGGGCAGCGTGAGTCATTGGGCTAAAGTCACCTTCCCCGTGGCGTCGGGGGGGGGAGCATTTGCTTCAAACACGGTGAAAAAGGGTTAGAAATATGGGGACGGGCACCTGGCGAGGGGAGATGCTCCATGCCACATTCCCTGCATCCCATGCCTGAGCAGCTGGGCAGGGTGCTGAGGTGCCCAGGGCAGGGGTCTCCCAGGGCCTCACCCTTGGGGGATCAGGCTCACCAGAAGCAGTGGTCTCGTCCTTACATTCCCATTAGTTCCATGTGCAGTTTCACCCCATCCTGCTCCGATAGCAGTGTGTCTGGGAGGCTGCAGTCTGTGTTCCCCCCCAGGCTGGCCCAGCAGACCTTTGGCTCCTGGGGCTTCCCGGGCGTAAACCGTCAGTGTCGCAGCACCCTTGTGCCCCATCGTGCTACCAGGGGCAGGGATGGAGCCCCGTGGGAGCACAAACTATCAGGGCTTCTGCACTTTTCATCTGGCTCCTGGGTGCATCCTGCAGAAGAAAACACTTTTCTTCCTTTTTGGGATATTGTCCCGCAGAAACTACCGCAGTTGAGGACTCGCAGCTGAGTCGTGCTGAGAACCTGGAGGTGCAGGAGCCGTCTCAGGGAAGCACCAAACTGCCAGCATGGACTGGACTGGGCTTTTGGCAGTGCCTTTGGCTTGGAGAGCTCGGAGGGGTGCATTGGCCCCTGAGGCCAGAATGCTCCAGCTCCTTAGGCTGCAGAGCCCTGAACTGTGTGCCTGTGGTCCAGCCATGCTTCCCAGCACAGTCCCTCCAGCGCCGCCGGAGACTTGCCAGCCACTGCGCTCAGCCCCTGCAGCACTGCTGGGAGGCAATGGGGAAGGGGCATCAGGTCCCGTTGAAAACAGCGGAGAGCTGAGCTCCTGGCACCACAGCCCCCCCGGGATGCAGAAGCAGCCCATCCTGGGCCACTCAGGAGTCCGGGACTGTGGCAGCACAAGCAAGGAGCTGCATGGCTGTGCTGAGGCATGGGGGGCCAGCTGTCCCCCCTGCAGGCATCCCTCAGCTGCCTTCAGCTTCGTTATTCCACCACTAACGAAGTGATGCTGAGCAGGCATGAGCAGTCAGGACAGTGCCCAGCCGGTGGCTGCCACTGCCAGGCGAGGCCGTGGGAGCTGCAGAGCCAACACGAGCATCCCCCAGGAGAAGCTGGGGGATCTCAAGGGCTCGAGGGGCTCGGCAGGGTCCTGGCTGTGGGGCTTGGCAGGGTCTGCTCCCGGCGCAGGGCAGTGCTGCAGGGCCGGGAGAGAGCAGCTCCCTCCTGACCGCTCAAAAACAAACCCGGCTTAACTCTGAGCCTGCCTGCGCTCTGGCCCCGGCGCGGCTGCGGCCAAGAGAGACGCGCTCCTGTGGCGCTCGGGAGAAGAGCGTTGGGGATCTGTGCCGGGGCCGCAGCGGGGCCGGGAGCTGCGGTGGGCGGGCGGGCGGCTCCTCGGGGACGGGCTCGGCTGCCGCAGCCGCTGCCATTGGGCTGCGTGGGCTGCAGGGGCTGCGCCGGGATGCAGGCACGCCGTGCTGGGATGCCGGAGGGATGCAGGATGCGGGAGGGATGTAGGATGCTGGCACACTGTGCTGGGATGCAGGAGGGATGCAGGCTGTGGATGCAGGCATTCACTGCTGGGATGCAGGCAGGATGTGAAATGTAAGCACACCATGCCGGGATGCGGGATACAGGCATGCTGTGCCAGGATGCAGGAGGGATGCAGGATGCAGGCATGCTGTGCCAGGATGCAGGAGGGATGCAGGATGCAGGCATGCTGTGCCAGGATGCGGGAGGAATGCAGGATGCAGGCATACTGTGCCAGGACGCAGGCGGGATGCGTGCCAGGACATGAGCACACTGTGTAAGGCCATGCTCCTGCTGAGCCCAGGGCAGCCAGGAAGGAGCCTGGAGATCTTTCAGACCCCATCTGGGGGAAAGAGCAGCTGGTGACCTGTAGTGTAAAGATGGCATCTCACCAGCCTAAAGAAAGATAGGATAAATTTAAACCCCAGCCCCAGTTCTGTAGGGAAGTGTCATCATTTTCCGTGATATTGGAAACTGCTGACAGTGTTGCGGGAGCGGGAGCAGGAGCACAGCTCCCAGGGAGTCATGCCAGATGCCCCTGGCATGGGGATAGGGACAGGAAGGGTTGGGGGTGCCTGGGGGTGAGGCTCCCTTTCCCCCAGAGTTCCTGCATCCCTGTGCACACAGTCACGTGTGGGCTGCGGTCAGAGCTGGGCTATTTTCCTCTTCTTGACTTGTCCCTTGCAAAAGATCTTTGGGGGTGGCTTCAGGGTTTTCAGAGTGTTTCATTTTTCAGGCCTGCATTTTCCCAGCATTTCCTGAGATCTTGGGACCCCCTGAAGTTTGGGGAGAGCAGCCAAGCCGAGAAGTCAGGGGCGCAGGGCTGGGGTGAGATGGTTTGGGGATCAGCAGCAGGTCAGACTGTGAACTCTGGGGTCTGGCTGCTGTGCCCACACCACTGCCCCTGCCACACACCCTTCTGGCTCGCGAGCTTCTGCAACAGGAAGTACCTCATGCGCGTGCCCAAAAAAACCTCATTTCTTTCTTTTTTCCCTTCTCCTGTGGCAGGGGTGAGGCAGCGAGTGGCTCCGGGGAGCCCAGGGTGGCTCCATGTATCCCGAATCCACCACTGACTCCCCAGCGCGACTCTCGCTGCGGCAGACAGGCTCCCCAGGGATGATTTACAGGTAAGGGTGCGGGATGGTGGTGGGGGGGCTCTGTGGGGCTTCAAACACAGGCCCATGGCATCCCAGAACCACTACACTCCATGAAATTGCCCTGACACTCCAAAACCACCCCAGCACTCTTCGTGCAAAAGCTTCCAGGACAAAACCCCCACATGGCAGCAGCAACAGTGTTTTGGGGTACTGGTGCCTGTTATGGGCATAGTGGGCACTCCTGGGGTTGTGCCAATGCCCACTGCACTGTACCTGCCATGATGTGACATGGGTGGGTGTCACTGACCCTTCCCATGGCCGTTGGCTCTGCTGCTCAGTCCTGCTCCTTCTTTCTAATGGGGTTTGTGGCATCTTTCTTCTCTCTCCCCTTTGCTGTCGGAAGCGCGAGATACGGGAGCCCCAAGCGCCAGCTCCAGTTCTACAGGTAACCCAGCCCTTCCCCCTCCCCAAAATCTGCAAGTGGCCACAGCCCCTGACCATGCCTGGGTGCTGCTGGCACAGTGCTGCCCTGCCTGCAGTGCTGGGGTCCCTCTGTGTGCGGTGGGCACCACCAATGTGGCATCACCTCGTCACCTGCGGGTTTGGGAGCGCGGCGTGGGGACCCCGTGGTGCGGCTCGGTGGAGGGCACCATCCTCGTGGGCTGCCCAAGCAACAGAGTGCAGCCAGAACACGGGTGGGGAAGGGTGTGGGGGGCATCCTGCGCCAATGCTGTGCCTGGAGGAGCCTGCTGTCTTTTCCCAAGGGCAACTCCAGGAACCCAGCCAGCTGCTTTGCTGCTCCTGCCATTAGGACCAGCGTCATTAAGTGGTTCAGGAGGCAACACTTGCCCCCGCCACTCTTTTACCGTCTGAAGTGAGGGCAGCTCTTTGCCCATGCACTGTGCCAGCAGCCACTCCGGTGGTCGTGGAGCCACGGCAGCCCTGGTAGTGTGGGACTGGGTCCAGCCTGGCCACCATGGGCAGGGGCCTGCCCCTGAGGGAGCCATGGCCCCCCTGCTCCATCCCGCACATGGCAGGGGGAGGTGAGGCTGGCAGGCACCGGGATGGCTCAGTGGCACTGTGAGCGATCTGTCCCAGCACTGCCACCAGCACTGCCGAGCCCCAGCCACAGGCAGGTTTTGGCGGCCAAACTGGCCTGAACCACTGGACACATCTGGTGCAAAAGGCTCCCGAGGCCGCCTGGCAGGACCCAGCTTGTTCATAGGCTGCCTTCAGGGAGCCTCTGCCGGTGTCCACCACCCAGTTCCATTTCAGGGCTCCTGCCCAGAGGAGGCTGCCTTTGAGTCCTGTCACTGCCCAGCTCTGGCCCTGCTGCCGCAGGGACCACAGGAGGGGTGTGTCTGCCACAGGGACGTCTCTGCTCCCTGATGGCCCCAGTGTCCAGCTGTCCCCACCACCCCGTGTGCCGGTGGTGCAGAACCTGTCACCGCAGGGTGAGGGGCGGCTGCGAGCAGGGGCGGCGGTGCCAGTGTTGCAGCAGCACATCCCAGGCTTTTAGCGAGGCGCCATGAATAATTTAGCTCCCCTATGCAAGGAAGAAAATCCCCTAATAGGGCTAATGGAGCGCGGTGAGAAGCCGGGCGCTGGGGGCCCGGTGTGGCAGCCAAGTGCGTCGGCACTCCCCTAATGCAAAACAGCGCGAGGGCCGCGGCTCTTATATCTGCCCCGGGGCAGCCTCGCCACCCAGAGCTGCGCTGCTGCTGAGCAGCTTCCCTGGCGCGGTGAGTCGGGGCTGGCGGCGCGGGCGGCGAGTGCGGATGGGCATGGCAGGCGGGAATGGGCACTGCCACGGGGCAGCCGCTGCAGGCAGCAGGGAAGATTTTCCATGCAGGGCTACTTGGGATTTGATGGCTTAGAGTCGTTTTCTTTTGGGGTTTGGGATCTTTCTGGCTTTAGGCAGGCCGGTGGCTGCCAACGAGTTCCCAGCTTGGCAAGCCAGGCTGGCCAGACGCCTCTCTGGGCAGCTGCCCTGCCCGTCACCCACTTGTTGTGCCCCCAATGCTGCTAAGTGCCGTTGTCCTGCAGAGCCTGTGCCCTGTCCTCATCCCTGCTCCTTCCCCACCAAACAGCCTCTCTCGCTTGGGCAGGGCGCGGCTTGTCCTCGGCAGCTCCTGCAGCCCCACCGGCTCGGCCCGGGAGCACCGGGATTTCTGCTCATGACCAGCTCCACCTCCGCCGTGCTCTCGCTGCCGTTCTGTACCCTTGCTCTGCTGAAAATCAGGGAGATGTCGAGATGGGGCAGCCGGTGGATTCATGCCCCATTCCTCAGAGCAGCCCTGCCCAACCCCCTGGCTCCGCTTGCTGCATCCATTTCGCTGCTGTAGAGCAGTGGTGCAGTCAGCTCAGGCTTTTCCTTGCCACTGTCAGGCGAGGGGATCCCACCAGGCCAAGGGATCCCACTGAGATCAAGGGGATCCCACCAGGTGCCCACACCCACCAGGAGCCACTGGTACTGCCCTAGTTAAAACTACCAACCATGGAGAAGGGCTGGTGCCAGCGGTGCCAGCTTGTCTCCAATTGTGAGGTGTGGCAGGAAGAGGCTAGTAACCAGGGTTTGGTTTGGCTTTGCCACAGCAGAGGGAAATATCCCTTTTCCATGTCTCCCTGCATTCCCAAGGCCTTGCTACAGAGCAGGAGGAGCACAGAGTGCTCTCTGGCAGCACTGGGTGTCACAGGAGACCCCCAGGGTTTCGGTCACCCCAGCCAGCTGCTGCTCCATATCCTCCGTGTTTGGAGCCTTTGGAGGTGACAGCAGCAGGGAGCACTTCATCTTTGGCTCCTGCTGCCATCAATGTGAGCTTTCCAGGGAAAGAAAAAACCACGGGTGGGAGCCTGGCTGGAGCCTGATGCCAGTGACCGCTTCAGTACCTGTGCCACAGTTTTGGCCCCAGTCTCCGCTCCCTTCAGACACAGAACAAGAGACGTGGCAGAGAGTGGCACAGAAATTGATGCCAGTGCCCTGCCGGTGAGGTCCCAGCCATAGAGGCGGTGAGGACTCTGGTGGGTGAGATGCTCACCCTGCAGCAGGCTGTTTTCAGCAGCTGCACCGGCTGGGAGGTCGCTGCCATGGTGGAGGGGAAGGTGTTGGCTGGAAGTGCACATTGTGGCAGTGTGATGCAGGCATGGCGAGCACCTGGTGCCCACAGCCCCTCTGCAGGTGCCCACCTTCCTGGGGAGCCCCACAGAAACTTTCCCACTGTGACTTCTCCTGCCCACTGGTACACAGTGCCAGATTGTCACCGGCAGCACTTTTGCCACCACCTGCCACATCTCGCAGGGGTGCAAACCAGTCCAAGCTGGGGGCCAGCACAGATAAGGCATGGGCCATGCTGCTGCAACATGACTCGGGGCAGCTGTGGTAGGCACTGCTGCCTCCTCAGCCATGGGCTGTGCCTTATTTCTGTCCTGCTCCTTTTCCCTTTGTGCTTCAGCTCCCATGTCAAGGCTGTACTCTGCTGAAAAGACTGGCTTTGCCAGGGTCCCCACTGTCCCCTCCCTGCGCTGCATGTCCTGGCAAGGGCAGGTGCCACCACTCCAGCATGGCAGCATGGGCAGAACTGTGCCCTGAGTGGCAGCGGAGCCCATGTTGTGCTTTCCCAGCTCTCTCCGTAGCACCACGGAGTGGTTGGTGGTGTGGCTGGCCAGCAGAGCCCGTGCTTGGGTGGCGGGATGCTCTCCATGACCTACAGTGAGAGCCTGCGCAGCGTGGCCAGCCGGCCCGCTCCCGAGTGGGGGCTGCCCCCGGCCCCCCGGGCGGCCGATGGGCTGGAGCTGCGGCGGCTGCGGGACGTGCGGGCGGCAGCGCGGGCGAAGACACTGGAGGAGTTCCTGCGGATGCACGGGCTCTCCCTGGCTGACAGCACTGCCCACGCCACCGGCATGAAGTACAGGTAAGGCAGCGCCGCGAGGGCCAAGGTGTGGAGACGGCACAGGGGATGCTGTGTGGTGATGGTTTGACACCTCGTCGGGAGAATGGCTCTCACCTGTGCTCACCTTGGCTTCCCTGTGCCTCGCCAAGCCTGGGAGGAGTCGATGCTGTTGGCACGGCGGGTGATCTGGTGCTGCGTGTGCTACAGAGGTGGCAGCCAGTCAGCGCTGTTAGCGCTCACCTGCTTTGTGATCTTTGAGCTTCTCACCTGACATTCCCATTTGCTGTTTGGGTGGTTGCGTCTGCAAACAGCTCTGGGCTTTAGAGAAAGACAGCTGGAGCAAACAGCCACTGAAGGGCTGTCTGCTTCACAGGTGTACATCTCCATCTGATGGGGGTACATCTCCACCTGAGGGGTGTACATTTGCGATCTGATGAGTGTACATCTCCATCTGAGGGGTGTGCGTCTCCACCGGCCGGGTGTGCGTCTCCGCCTGACTGACAGCTGTGCGTCGTGTAGTGGGTGCGCCGTGAATTTTGTGTGTGGGTCCCAGTGCAAGGTGTATCAGGATTTCAGCCGGTATTTGTCTTTCTTTCAGAATTTGTCCTCATTTGCCCTTCTCTGGGCAGCTGCAGAGGCAGCCACGGCCCCTTGGAGTGGCAGGGCTGCTCTGTCCAGTGCACCCTTCCCCACTCTCCCCTGGTATCACGGGCGGGGTGATGGGGTGCAGTAACACAGCTCAGGATTGGTGAGGGGCACCAGGGCTGGGGACAATGGCTGTTCCCCCTGTGCAGGGGTGCTCCTCGTGCCCCACTGCAGTGAAGCGCCTGGGAGCTGGCAACTGCCAGCTCCTGCCGTGCCGCACTGTGCCGAGCCGTGCTGCGCCTCAGGTCAGGTTCCCCTCCACTCACAATGACCGCGGTAACATTTACACAGTGGCAAGAGCCCATCAAATATTCATGGGGACATTATCTATTGATGGGAGCTGCTGGCACAGGCACGCCCAAAGGTGCTCCTCCTTTGGCCATGTCCGCGCTGCCCTCAAAAATCTATGGAGTTTCTCCTCCTCCGGAGGCTGCCGACTGCTGTCGGGTCTCCCCCCCGCGCTGGAGCCGGCGCCGGCACCGGTGCTGGTAGGATTACCAGCTAAGGAGCTTTGCGGCAGAGGGAAGCGGAGGAGATTACAAGATTTCTCATTAGGTTGGGGGCGAATGTGCGTAATTTCCCACAAGCTCTGTTCCCGCATCTTGCTCTGTCCTGAGGGGCAAGGTGGGTGCAGGCAGCCGGCACATGGCCCCGGCTGCAGGACAGTGCTGCAGCGCGGTGCCTTGTGTCCCTGCTTTGGCAGAAGATGCTGGGCTAGGGTTCGCCTTGCTCATCTTTGCTTGCACTGGGCAAAATTTGAGGGATATGCTGTTGGGGCCGTGGCCCCAAGGGGGAAAACCAGTCCAACTTCGGCAAAGAGCCGGGCTCTGCTGCAGGAGAGCCTTCAGCCTGCCGCCTGCGCCCTTGCCCAGCCGTGGGGTTGGCAGCGTACACGCAGTGCTGCCAGAGGGTTTGGTTTCAGACCTGTGCAAGGGGATGCTGTGCTGCGGTGCGTGGCCGGAGGGAGGCAAGGAAGAACCCCTTCACTGCGTGGCCTCAGCCTCCAGTGTGCCCCAAAACGGGGCTGGGCCAGCAACCGCGCCCGCGGGGGGATGCCCAGCAGGGCACAGCGGGGTCCTGCCCCGCCGAGGCTCCTCGGGGGACCTCGGCAACGGCGCTGCCCTTCCTGCCCCCACCTGCCCGCGTGCCGATCGCTCGCTTCCTGAGCTCATCAAATATTGAGGGCAGGAGGGCTGACGGGAGCTCCGCGCCCGCCGCCCCGCAGCCCCCCGCCGTCACGTTGGCGGCGCGCGGGAGGAGCTCCCGCCTCGCCCGGGGCGCCGGCTAAATTTAGGCAGCTGGCGCTGCTGCCCGGCGGAGCAGCATGCAGGTCTCCTTTGTGTGCTCCGAGCACAGCATCAAGAGCCGGAGCGCGGAGGACCGGCTGAACCGACAGAATGCCGGCAGCCCCAGCCTCGGCACCCGTGGCAAGTTCCGCGCGGTGGCCATGGTGGCCCGCAGCCTGGGGCAGCTCTCGGTGCAGAACGCCCCCTCCTCCAGCGAGTCCAGCGTCAAGCAGCCGGGGATGAAATACCGGTAGGAAACGGGCACTGCTGGGGCTTTCCCTGTTTCTTACCGGGATCGGGGCGGCCTGGGGGTATGGGGGCCGCACTCCCCTAATTCCCGGTTCGCGACCGGCTCTGTCGGTGTCTTGGCGCTAAAAGTGCTGACCGTGCGCCTCCGTGTGCTTCCTCGCTGTTTGCTCCTGTCCCTTCGGGGCAGCCTTGATTCAGCCGCGCGTAAAAGGGTGGGGGGGACAAGGAACCCGAAAATTCAGGATAGGATTAACAGCGTCCCCAGCGCCTGCCGAGCCGGGTGGGTTTGGGAGTCACGGCAGCGTTAATCCGGTGTGCCATGGCATCCTTATGGTGCTGACAGAGGCTCACTACCCTGCAAAGTGAGCATGGAACCGTAAGCTGGGATTCGGGTCTGGCTGCCCACGGTGGGCGTAGAAATGAAGGGTGGTGTGTGCACGTGGGGTGCTGGTCCCCCCAGCCAGCACCCACGGGGCTCATGCGCTCCACGTCCCTGGCTCTGGGGCAGAGCGCTCAGGGCTTCCCTTGCCGAGTTTTAGTGTGCACCCCTGTGTGGGGCTGGGGCTTCCCCCGGGTGAGCCGGGTGAACATGCACCCCAGCACAGGGCAGGCCCCCCCCCAAGATGAGCCTGCACGCCACAGTCCAGCTGCCAGCGGCTGCGTGCCCCCTCTGCAGCCCAGATGTGCCGGCATTAGGCACAAAGCACGTCAGAGCGCTGGGGTGAGCCCGGCTGTTACCTACCAGCATCATCCAGATCAGCTGGTTCCCCTCACCTGGGCACTGGGGAGGGCACTGGGATCGCTCCATCCAGCTCTGGAACACCAAACCTTTGCGCTGGTTGCAGCAGTGCTGGGGCCGTGTGCGGTGGCATCCTCGGGGCTCGGGGCTCCTGCCCCACTGTCACGTCCCCATCCGGAGGAGAAGCACAGCAGGACCACCCTCTCCCAGGCAGTGGGTGATCAGCTCGGGGGTTCCCACTGGTGGCTGCTGGATAGACAGTGATGCAGGGGGTTGCTCCAAGTGAGGGGATGGGATAGGAAGGCTGTGGCACAGCGCAGGGGGATACCTGGCTTTCCCAAGTTCTGCCAGTATCTCCATTGGGCAGCTGGTCAACACACTTTTGAGCTGGAAAGCTGGGAACAGTGATAGCCACTTGCCCAGGAGGACCCTGGGATGCCTCTGGAATGGCCAGGATGGGTCCAATGCTGTCCATTCCCTGTGGAAATCCCCATCACGGGTGCTTGAGCCGCTGCCACCCCAGGGCCATGGCTTCTCCCCACCGTGCAATGCTCTAAAACCGCCACGGGGCTGGGGGAGCGCCCACACCTCCAGGTGTTGGGCAATAAGACAGCAGCATGGAAGGACAATGCCCCAACTTGGCACACCACGGTTGGGCCGTGGCTGCTCCCTGCCCGGCTCGCAGTGCCCGTGTCGGCGGTGCCAGCGGTGGCAGTGCCTCGGTTGCTATGCGACACCCGCGCGGGCGAGCTGCCGCGGCTCACCTACACTTTATTTATTTTAACGCTCATTTCTCGAGCCTTTGTCATTTTTAACAAGTAACTGGCTCTCCATCACTGTGGCGAAGGCGTCTGCCAGCTCGGCCCCCTTTCCGAAAGCTGTTCTCCAGTTCCTTGTGCTGGTCAAATTTTCTGGGGTGCTCCATTTCTCCAGGATGTTGCTCCACTCCCAAGCACCCTCACCCTGTGCAAGTCGTGTGCTTCCCTGTGCTGTGATGCAGAGAACAAGCACAATTCATACCATGTGTGGGATGCTTCAGTCCCGATCCACCAGCTCTCCCTGCTTCCCGTCTCACCCCCCTGTGCCAGCAGCACTCTCAGGGCAGGCAGACACCCCGGCCTTATCACAGGAAACTGCTTTAATGAGGTCACTGCCCGCTGTCGTGTGTGTGTCCCCCCCCCCCCGATAACCCTGCCAGGCATGGCATCGCTGCGCCAGTGCTGGTGGTGCCACCAGTGAGCTATGGGATGCCTGGTCTGGGATGGCTCTTTAATTGGTTGCAGGGGGACCCTCACTGTGGGACTGTCCCATGTGGGGATGGGGTGGGGACCAGGGACCACCACCACACCTCCCAGCCCCCATGCCCACTGCATTCAGTGGCACATGGGGTGCATAAGACGGCCTTTTGGGGCTTTCTGGCGCCTTTCCTGATGCTCTCTGTCTTCCAGGAACCTCGGGAAGTCTGGGCTGCGCGTGTCCTGCCTGGGCCTGGGTAAGTGCCAGGGTTTGCCGCAGCCCCTCGGCATCCCCTCGGTCCTGCAGCGAGTGCCGGTGCTCCCCGGCGAGGGCGGCGCTCGCCTGCCCCAGCGATGTTTGCGCAGGGAAGGAAAGGGTTTCCCTCAGCCCTGCGGCCGGTTTGAGTCACAGCCCAGAGACTGTCAAATTATTTTCTCTCTTTGTGATGCGATAGGAAGCGACTGGGCCGCGCTGGGAGCACCGCGCTGCACGCGGCCCGGCCAGCTGTGGCCACCACGTGCCGGGGCTGTGCTGAGGGGGCCGGGGTGGGTGGCCGGGGGCTCAAGGCGGTGGCGCTCGTTTCTCACCGCATTCACCGTGCACACACCCTCTCTCCCCTGCAGGGACATGGGTGACTTTCGGAGGGCAGATCACAGATGAGGTAAGGTTATACCCTGTTGTCCTGTCCCTCCCCAACCTTTCCCTGGTGAGTGGGGAAGGGACGGGGCTGGCACAGCCGTGGCTGTGCTCTGGGTGCACGTGGCATGCCGGAGCTCAGCAGCGCTCTGCACACGCGCCTGTGCCCCGGCTCTCGGCCACCCCCTTCGCCGACCCTGCTCTTTCCTCACAGATGGCGGAGCAGCTGATGACTTTAGCTTATGACAACGGCATTAATCTCTTTGACACAGCAGAAGTCTACGCTGCTGGCAAGTAGGTACCCTGCTTTGGCAGTGGCACCCCGCACCCCAGCCCCCTGCACCTCCAAACCACAGCAACACTGGGAATCTCCTGGATTTTCTGGCTGCAAAGTGGCTTCCAGGACGGGGCTGTGAGTGCTTGCTCACGGGGAGGGGTCATGGTTCTGGCAGTCCCATGCTTCCTGTGGTGGCCTGTGCTGTGCAGGCACAACCATGCACCCTCCCAGCACGGTGAGCAGTGGCTGTGCCCAAGGCACACTGGCCTGGGGCATCACTGTCCATGCACTCACTTAAAATTAGTGAGCTTGCACATTAGGGGTCAGCTCTGCTCTGGGCACTGCAGCCAGGGGGCAGACAGTGTCCCCATGGCCACTACCTTTGCCTCTTAGTCTGCCAGGGACTGGAGCTGTCCCTGCCAGCTGCCACTGGTCCCTTGGCCACAGCAGCTGGGGCACTGGCAGCTGACATCCCCTTCCCTTGCAGGGCCGAAGTGGTGCTGGGGAACATCATCAAGAAAAAAGGGTGGAGGTAAGCTGGACATCATCCCTGTTTAGCAAAGCTGTCACCACAGACCAGGTGACCTGGGGAAAGCTGGCAGAGCAGCCCTGGGCAGGAATGCATGTGGGCAGGGAGCGGGCAGGGTGCGCAGGTGCCACCACCAGTGACTCTCTCTTTCTCCCTGCAGACGGTCCAGCCTGGTCATCACCACCAAAATCTTCTGGGGAGGAAAGTAGGTAACACCTGCCCCGTGATGGAGTGGCCAGCACAGGCCAGGCTCTCACCCACCTTTCCTTTTCCAGGGCCGAGACAGAGAGGGGCCTGTCCCGAAAACACATCATAGAAGGTAGGGAAAGGTAGGGGTAGGGTTGCTCAGTGGGCGCTGCTGGCCCTGGTGCCAGGCTGTGCCTCGGCAGCTGCCTCCCTGCTGGCAGCACAGGGTCCCTGACCTGACGGCCCTGTCCCTGCGGCAGGTCTGAAGGCGTCGCTGGAGCGGCTGCAGCTGGAGTACGTGGACGTCGTGTTCGCCAACCGGCCCGACCCCAACACGCCAATGGAAGGTGGGTGCGCGCCACGGTGCCACACTCCTTCCTGCCGCCTTTCGTCGCCGTCGCGGTTGGTTTGCGCCAGGCTTGTGTTTCAAGGGCATTTTCCCTCCTGAGCAGAATCCGCTCCTCCGCCACCACGGTCAGTCCGTGCCATGATCATGCCTCTGCCGCCCCCCGCCCGGCGCCAGGACCCCCTCAGGCCATGGTGGGGTGGGTTGGTGGCACGGTGGCAGGTCGCTGCTCCCATCCCAGCAGCGGTGACTCCACTCTCTCTAAATCTCTCTTTTATCACCAGGGGACCCATTTAGTTCCTCCAAGTCCAGGACTTTCATCGTAGAAGGTACTCCCTGCCCGCACTCTGCCCGCCGGCCGCTGCCTGTCCCAGCGGCGTTTCCTGGGGCAGAGCCCTCACTCCTCTGTGACCCCCCCATCCCTGATCCCCCCTCGAGCAAACCCACCATGAGATGCAGAGGCAGCGGCAGCAGAACACAAACACTCCCTGGCCCTTCCTTCAGACTGTCCTGCAGTTAAAAGGAAAAAAGCAGAGGCTCCTGCCCCTCCAGGGTCCTGCCGTGGGACTCCCTTGGCCCATGCCAGGGTCTGCGGCAGGCTCTCCTTGCCGGGGCGGCTGTGAGCATGCTGGGGTGTGTGCCCCAGTGCCGGCCGGGCAAGCCCCACGCCCCTCGCTCTCCCCGCTGCCCGCCTTTGGCTGCAGGAGCGCGTCTTGGCTTGGTCCCAGCCTGCATGGCTCAGGGCTGGCTCCCCCCAAAACTCCCAAGCCCCTTGCACGGGGTCCAGGCTTCCCTCCCTGGGTCTCCGTGCATGGGCGATGCATCAGTCCCTTCCCTTGCAACGGTGCCGGTGCTGGTAACCCCACAGGGTGTGGGGCCACTGCCAGGACCCTTGGGCTGCTCTCCATGCCAGGAGAGCCCCGGCACCGCCAGCATGTCAGGTTGGCTGTGGTCCCCGGCACATCCTGAGTGGCTGCTCCCTCTGTTCCCGTCCTGCTCCTCTGGACACAGCCCAGCTCCCGCCACAGCGCTGCGGGAGTGGGATGCTCACCAGCCATCAGCGCGGTGCGAAACCCCTTGTGCTGGTGCAGCCCCTGCTAACCCCTTCTGGCCACTCTCTCCTTCCCTCCTGGCAGAGACGGTGCGAGCCATGACCCACGTCATCAACCAGGGGATGGCCATGTACTGGGGGACCTCGCGCTGGAGCTCCATGGAGATCATGGTAGGGGCCCAGGGGATCGGGGCGGCCGCAGCGGAGCAGCCCCAGTGGTGCTGCTGATGCTGATTTAATTAGACAGCAGCTTTTGGGAGCCAAGCGTGTGCAGATGTGCTTGAGCCTTAATCAGTTCCTGGGGCAGCCGCTCAGGGCTCGGCTGGGGGGCTCAGCAGGGGGAGCAGCGTGGCACTGAGGGTCCCGGCTCTTCTGCAGGAGGCGTACTCGGTGGCCCGGCAGTTCAACCTGATCCCGCCGATCTGTGAGCAGGCCGAGTACCACATGTTCCAGCGGGAAAAGGTGGAGGTGCAGCTGCCTGAGCTCTTCCACAAGATAGGTACGGTGGCGGAGGTCCCTCCCCAGCCCCCAAAGCACAATGCTCCGTGTGCCCAGCACTGCAGAGGCCAGGTGCTGTGGTCCCTGGGGAAGCTGGGGGCAGCAGCAGCATCACCCCCCATTCTGCTCTGTCCCCAGGCGTCGGAGCCATGACCTGGTCCCCACTGGCCTGTGGCATCGTCTCGGGGAAGTACGATGGGGGGATCCCCCCCTACTCCCGTGCCTCGCTGAAGGTGAGCCATGCTGGGGCCAGGGGGCACACTGGGATGGACAGAGCTGGGGGAGCAGGGCCAGGGGCCTCACAAACCAACCCAGGGAGTTTGGGGATGCCCTGCCTGCACAAGGTGCTAGTACACCCCAACCCCCCCATGACACTCCTTCCCGTCCCCCCAGGGATACCAGTGGCTGAAGGACAAGATCCTGAGTGAGGAGGGCCGGCGGCAGCAGGCGAAGCTGAAGGAGCTGCAGGCCATTGCCGAGCGCCTGGGCTGCACTTTGCCCCAGCTCGCCATCGGTAAGAGGATGGCGGACAGGGGGTTGCTGGGGGTGACACCGGGGCAGCCAGGCCATGCTCAGGCTCTGCTCTCCCTCCTCTCCAGCCTGGTGCCTGCGCAACGAGGGTGTCAGCTCAGTCTTACTGGGGGCCTCCAATGCTGACCAGCTGATGGAGAATATTGGAGCGATACAGGTCAGTGCTCCCAGCAGGAGTGACGTGTGCCCTGAGCACTCCCTGCTGCACCACGCTGGGTGGGGAAAGAGGGTCGCGAACGCAGCTCCATGACAGGTTTTGCTTGTCACGAAGGCAAGCGGCAGAGACAAGGCTTTGCTGGACTGAGGGGGCAGGGTTGGGCCCGACCCAGGCTCTCCCTAACTGGGTCAGCCAGCTGGCAAGCTAGGGCTTGTGGCACAAACAGAGCGGGGTGGAGGCGGTGAGCGCGGCACGGCTGCATCCCACTGCCGGCTGCGTCCTCCCACACACACCACAGTCGCGATCCCAACTCCCAGTGTTGCCCTATCCCGGCAGGTCCTTCCAAAGCTGTCGTCTTCCATCGTCCATGAGATCGATAGCATCCTGGGCAACAAACCCTACAGCAAGAAGGACTACAGATCCTAAGCGCGCCCAAGCGCGCCGCCCGCCGCGCAGCCCTCGCCGCCCGTTCGCTTGCTTACGCTTTGTTGGAGCAAAGTGGAGAGTGTGGTTTGCACCACGAGCGCCGAGAGCCAGCGCTCCTGCCCGCGCTGCCCCGGACACGGCGCCACGGCCGCTCGGCCTGGCTCTGGGGCACAGGGACGGCCGGTGGGGCGTGCGGGAGACGAGCCCCACTGCCCGGCCGCCCTGCCCGCAGCCGGAGCCGCCGCGGGGCCCGTTGCATGCGCGGCTCCCGCCCCTGCGTTGTCGGAGGTGGTGGGCGCGGGGTGCACGCGGGTGCTGTACGCCCACGAGGCTGACAACACGAAGCTGTTCCCCAGCCCTCGCCTCTGCCCTGTGCCGCCGGCACCGCCAGCCCGACACCGGCACAGTGGGGCTGTGGTTCCCGGGGTGGGGGACAGGATGGGGCGGTGACAGGGAAGGGGTTCCCTGTGAGAGAAGCCCGGGGTGCCCCGGTTGAGCGTGGGGCTGGGCTCTGCTGCAGGGAGGGGCCAGCCAGGGGAGTGTGTGTGGGCAAGTGTGTGAGCGTGTGTGTGGACAGACACACAGGAGACATGCAGGGACATACAGACACGTGTACGTTTGCACACAGCAGCTGTGGAGGTGACCACGGCCCACAGGCACCTTCAGATGTATCTGCACAAAGCTATTGAAATACAGGGGCCTCTATACACACACCCACATCCACTCATTACAGGTGTGTGTACACACACACACAGAGATATGTATGTATATATGTATATAGATGTGTATATAGATATGTACACACGTCTCTGAAAATTAGATGTAAAGTGTATACAAACACACACATGTAGACACGTGTGTACTTGTGTATATACAGACATACATAGCTCCATGTATAGATCCATATATGTAATATATAGATGTGTACATATCCATGTAAATATATTGCTGTAGCAGCATCCATGTTTGTATGGATATATGCACACATATGAAAATTACAGGTACATACATATATGTGTGTATATGCAGATATATGTGTAGATATATTTATATACACACCCAACTCTATAACTACATACTCATCTTTCTATAAACATATGCTGTATATACATGTGGAAACAGATATTTGTGATTTAGATATAGCTATAGATAACACATATCTAGATATATAGCTATAGCTATATATAGGTATAGCTATATATAGATACATATATGATAGATATAGATATGAAATATAGCTATCTGAGATACAGCTATAGCTACATCTATCTATCTCTTTATAGCTCTTTGTGTACTCTGTGCAGAACAAACATTTTTGCCAATACCTATATCTATCTATCCATATACATATATACACAGAGTTGCATCTATCTGTGCACAGACAAATATAAAAACTAAATATATGTGCAAGCCCTCAGTTCTGTGCACAGTGTGTGTGTTTCTCCACTCCCTGTGTAGCCGTGGCTGCACCTACAAGCCCCCCATAAATCTGTGTGTGTGTGCAAACACGGAGGGTCTCCCAACCCACACAGAACATCAGAGCTCTCCCTCTGTGCATGGTTGGGGTCCATGTGCACACCCCTGCCCCATACACACCCCCACACCTTTAGGTACATGGGTTTACCTGCAGATTTACCCACACATCTTTTTTTATACATCTGTCTACAGAACTACATTGATGGTTGTGTGCAAACAGAAACATACACACTGATATGTATGTTTGAAATCACAAATACAAATGTGTATCTCTGTATATACAAATGTGTACTTCTGTATGCACACATGTAAACTATCTGTGTCTAGTATAATCTATACACCCTTAGCTGTATCTATATCTACGCCTATGTATAAATATATAAAAATTACAAATACATGTGGGTGTCTGTGTATATATACACAGCTATATATCCATACAGAGATACAGACATGGAGATACAGAGATATGTAGATATAGAGATAAATCTACATATGCATGTGTGTATATATACACATATAAATTACAAACACACATTTATGTATGTACATATACACAGATACATGTATGTGTATATACACCTCTGTAAATACAGATCTATACATCCCTACCTATGTATAGATCTATGCCTATGTATGTATGTTATCTACCCATACCTACACCTACATATACACACACAACCAGTTATTTAGTTATATATGTACACAAACACACGTGTATTAAAACTACAAATGCATTATTTATACATGTATAATATACATGTATATTATATATACACATATCTATATTATATATACACACACCCACACAGACATAGCTGCACCTAAATAAATCATTATATCTGTGTGTGCTCACGTAAAGATATATATGCACACATATATCTAAAAACTTAACAGTCCCATGTATATCTACACGTGTGTACACAGATCTACACATGCTATATATGAAGAGATACAGTCATATAGGTGGGGGGGGGGATGCAGATATATATACCTAAGTGTATGTGCACTCACATAAAGATTACAGTATTTGTGTAGATACACACACACCCCTCCTCATGTATGTCCATCTGTGTCCATGCGTGTCCGTGTGCACAGGGCGTGTGGGAGAGCTGGGGCTGGGGACGGGGCAGCTTCTGCCACTGACAGACCCTGTGGCTGTGTGTGCACGTGTGTGTGCGTATATGTGTGGGTGAGTACACATGTGTGCACGTGTGTGTGTGTGTATGTGTGGGTGAGTACACGTGTGTGCACATGTGGGTGTACATATGTGTGGGTGTGCACACGTGTGTGTTTTGTGTACATGTATGTGGGGGTGTGTACACATGTGTGTACAGGATGACACAGGTACTGCCACTGCAGCCAGACTCCCCCCCGAGGCCACCCCCCAGGGCTGCCCCAGCCACCCCCTTGCCAGACTCCACTGCATCCTTCCCAAAGGATTTATTAAAACACAGAGAACAGAAACCGGGACACACGGAGCACAAAGCAGATGCAGGGGCTTACAGCTGTTGCTGACAGCTGCCGGTGTCACCACACTCGAGGTGTCCCCATCCCAGCTCTGGCCATCCCCTCCATCCCACCCGTCTGCCCCACGCCCAGCACACACGGACCCCCAGCCACACCACAGCGGTGCCAGGGCAGCAGGAGGTGTGGGCTCACTCAAATGCAGCGAGGATGCAGAAATGGCCCTTGCAGGTCCCACATGTGCCAACACAACCAGACAAACACCGCGACTCCACCCTCCCTCCCCTCAGCCCACCTCGCCCAGACAAACTCTTCAAGTCTTCAAGAAGAAAGTGCAAAAAATGTACACGGACACGAACCCCCGGCCCTGCTGCTCCCGCGGAGGCCGCAGCGGGTGAAGCACACTTGAAGCAGGAGCGGGACAGCCCAGCAGCACCGGTGGCAGCTCATCTTCCACACAGGCAATGCCGGCACGATTCCCCCACTGTCCTCTGGCAACAGTGGCTCACGGCCGGGGGCTGAGGCCTGTCCCCGGGGCTGCTGCAAGAAGGGAGGGCTGCCCATCAGCCAGGTCTGGACCCTCCCTGCCTGCCAACCTCAGGCACCTGGCGAGGTCACCGGGAAGGATCTGCTCCCGCTTCCACTGCAGCTGCTCCAGCCAGAGGCGGCAGCCAGACACCGGCAGTGGGGGGCAGCCCAAAATGGAACCCCCATACAGCCCCCAGCCCCACTGTGTTCCCCAGCAAACAGAGCACAGAGAGCTGTGAGCGCAGCCTTACCTCAGCTAGGAATGGGAGCTGCAGGGGAAAATCATGGGAACGGCTAAATATCTGTGGCAAGAGAGGAGACACTGTGCTCACTGCTGTCCTTTGGCGATACTTCTAGACCGCCCAAATCCACCCCCTGAATTCCTCTGCTCAAGAGCAAAACCCCAACCTACCAGTCACGTAGGGTCCCAGAGGCATCTGGCTGTAGTTGACAATTCCACCTGGCCCGGGACCACGGAAATTTGGCCCAAAGTTATTGTTGTACATCTGGGAGGAGCCAAAGGAGCCCTGGGGAGGCAAGGAGGGAGAAAAAACATGGGCCTGCAGCTCTGGCCTTTACTGTGACCCCCACAGGGCTCTGTGCCTGTCCCCGCTGACCTGGACAGTCGGGTCCCCTCCACGGGTGGCCAGGCGGCTGAGGATGCTCCGCTCCGACATCTGCAGCCGGGCAGCCACGGGTGGGATGCGGGACAGCATGGAGGGCAGGCGTGTCACATCAGCCTTCATGTCACTCAGCAGCTCCTCGAGCTGGTTCAGCACTGCGAGCAGAGCAGGTGGTGCTCAGGGGGGGATGCCCATTGGACCCAGTGAGCTGGGAGGAGCAGGCAGCTCCTGGTCAAGGGAATGTGACATGGGGACAACCTCCTGGCTGGGTTCCCAGGGTCAGGGTGGTGAACTCTTCCTAGCCCTGGGGCAGGCTCCCCCGACCCTGTGGACACGCACCCTTATGCAGGACGGCGTTGGCAGGTTTGTTGCCAGCCAGGGACTCTTTGGAGAGGTGCTGGTGGCTCTCGGCAAGGCACTCCACTTCTGCCAGCCGCGCATTCAGTGCCATGGCCGGGTGACTGGGGTCTTGGGTCATGTTGAGGTACGCCGCCCTCCGCAGCTGCTCCTCGATCACCAGGGCCTGCTCCAGCAACTGGGAGGTGCAGGAGGGGAAGGATTCATGACCAGACCCCACTCCAGTGTAAACCAGTAAACCACGGAGCCCCTCACAAAGCCCACTCCCAACTCTGCTCCCAGAAGGCTCTGGCAAACTCTCCCCTGGCTTTGGGGCACTGCTGTGGTTCCCCCACTGGCAGGGACTCGCCAACCCTGGACCTGCCACTCACCTTGAATCGCCGAGCAAGGAACTTGTTCTTCATCTCTAGGTAGTTCCCCTTGTGTATCTCTGACTTGAACGGCTCGTTCAGGATCACGTAGCGCGGGTCGTTCTGGATGTCCTGCCAGCGGGCATAGCCGTGACTGGGGCAGTGGTAGTGTCAAGGGCAGAATCAGCCAGCCAACAGCCTGCCCACCACCCCAGGGTGGCCCCAAATCCCCTCCCTGCTTGTCACCACCAGCCCAGCTCCCGCCCCCTGCAGAGGCCTCTCTCGCCTCGCTGCCTCCTGAGTCAAAGGGTACGTGACAATTCCTGCCAACAGCCAGTAGTCGTGTCGGCGGTGCCAGATGTCGTAGATCTTGCCCGAGGACATGGCAGCCCGCTCCTCATTCTGCCACAGCGTGTGCAGCTCTGTGGAAGCAGAAGGGAGACAGCCTGGTCAGGCAGCCGGGCTGCAGGTCAGCGCACAGCGCTTGGGCAGGCGAGCGGTGGAAGCTCCCGGGGCCACGGGCACAGCACAGACTCAGGTCTGCTGCTGCCAGCGAAGCACTGGCCTGTTCACAGCCTGTGACAGGGGTCACATTTCTTGCACGGGTTCAGAGCTCTGCAGCAGCTCTGCAGGAGAGGCCAAGTCCTCATCTCTCACTCTTACCTGTGAAGCCACCATCAGCAATGTTGAACATGAATCGGAAGTTCATGTTTCTGTCATCCTTCTTCCCATCCTCCTCTTCCTCTTTGTCACCGTTTTGCTGGGCCTCACTTTGTTCCTTGTCCTCCTCCTTGCCATCTGCTCAGCAAACACAAGGAATTGGCCTGTCTAATCGTGCTCTGCCACCAGACCCCATGGTATCACCCCTGAGAGAACTCCCTGTTACAGTCACTGTTGGAAAAGCCTCCATCCCCTCTTTGCCCCACAGCAGCAGCTGTCCCTCCTGGCAGGTTCCATTGTTTGCACAGACAGTGCCCACCCCAGTGGGGTCTTATTCCAGCTTCTGGCTCCCGAGCAGCAGCTGTACTGGTGTCAGCAGCATCCTCACCATCGCCCCGCAGGCGCACTCCATCACTGCGCCAGGCACCAGCCTCACTCCAGGGACTCTTCCCACTCTTCTCACTCCAAAGCCTCCTCACACCTCACCTGGCTTGACTTCTTTGTCCTCCCCCTTTCCTGGGCTGTTGCTCAACTCCACCTTCTCTGAAGGCTTCTCTTGCTCTTGAATCCCCTCATCTGCAGGTGGGAACAGGTCTAAAAGAAACACTCTGCAGGGAACAACCTGCTTGTCTGGACACACTTTCCCTTTTAGGGTAAAGTAACTATTGTTTGTACATTCAAGGTCCTCAAAAAACTTCAAACAGAACATTCTTCTGCATTTTATCAAGAAAACATATTTTCTTTTCCCTCTTCCTTAAGAAATCTGCAGGAACTTACTGCTAGGAACAGAAAATGCCCCCCCCCAAATGAACATTTCTCACAATTTACAACCTTTTGTTTCAGGAATTTCTGCAGGATTTTGTGACATTCAGGTTTCCCACAGTGACATGGAGAAGAGCCACAGCCTCACCTTTCACCAGGGGCTCAGGAGAAGGTTCAGCCTTTTCACTCTCCTCTTGCTTCTCTTCCCTCAGCCTCTCCTTGTTGTCACAGCTTTCTGGGTGCTCTTCATTCTCCACCTTCTCAGCACTCGCAGGCACCTTAACACCAAACACCCACCTCAGATCAGCCCAGCCCTCCCTTCCCCAGGGAGTGCCCCAAGTTCCTGGGAAGACCAAGGAGGCTTCCCAGAGGAGATGCTGAATGAAGTCACCTCACCTGGCTGTCAGCCACCTTCCTGGGCTTCTGCTCCACTGGGTCCTTTTCCTCATGGAACCCCAGCTGTGCTTCTATTTTGTCTGTAGGGAGAGAAAAGCCAAGAAGCTGTTGAGCAGGGCCTCCATGGGCTCAGCACCTGCAAGAAATCCTGGTGTCTTTGCCCACCTCCCTCCCAAGCCAGACCCCAGCCGGGACCCCCTGGCTACCTGGTCCTGTGTGTGTGTGTGCTGGGCTGGCTGGGACGGGTGTGTTGGG